CAAGAAAACATTCCCTTACAATGCTAATGAGATACATAATAAAGAAGAAAGAAGTCCGGATCTCCTGAAAAAAAATCGGAGGGAGCTAGTTTTTCCCAGAAGATAGAAGCGTTCGTAACGAGCTCGAAAGTAGCCGGCACAATGCCTGGAGCTAAGCTTTGTTTAGGTGCAAGGGCTGGCATTACTCATGGGGCTAAAGCTTAGCCTAGATCCAGGAAGACAATAATACCAGCGGAAGCCAGAACCAAACCCGATAGCCAAAGTATGACCAAAAAGTGAAGCGGTCAGTAGTGCATCTGTCAAAGAATGGCCTTTCTCGGGGTCATTGTCCTTATATTTTAAAGTACGCGGAGAAGCGTTGTGCTGCCTACCTTATCAGAAGGATACAGCTGCAGTCACTAACCAATGAGAAACTAACAAAGGTCTCCATTGATTGCGCGAAAGCGATTCTACCCATGTTATGTTTATGTTACATCGTTATATCAACCGCCACCAGTGGCAGCCAAGAGACAAAGTTCAGCAGAAAAAGCTAAGCCATCAGCCAAACAGCCGAATGCAAAGGGTGTGACACTCTCTAAATCATTTGCTGATGTGGCCCGAAACCGCATTACTATTAGTTGAGGGAGAACCCAAAGGAAAAATTCCTAAAGACCAATCGTAGTCGGTGCGAGCTGCAAACGTAGAACTGGAGGATGCTACTTAGCAATCCAGGTCTACCATCGTCATGCACAGATGCGAGCTGGTACCAGGGCTAAATCAAAATGATTGCATGCGACGTCGAGAGATCGGTCGAACTGTACAAAGCTACTTAACCAAGGTACGTTATACCCCGGAGCTAAACTGGTAGCGGTGGTTAAAAAAGACATGCCGTCCAGACCAAAGAAAAGGGTCTGAATCTCGGCTACAACATCGAGGCCGAAAAGGGGCCGGAAGATCAATTATGGGCTTACGAAGGTGAGAATCACAACTTACAAATCGGACGCCGCTGCTGCAGACCACCTTGCATCGGGAAACGACATGGATGAATTCGAGGATGATCATATGGAATCCTCGAGTGATGTGGAAAGTATTGAGCAAGGTGAGTTTTCTTCGGGGTATTAGCTTGTAGACATACTCTCGAAACTTTACACTAAGAGAGATGTCTTGAGCGACTCATAGGGAAATGCAGATAAAACATTTTAATGCGTCATCTACAAATAAATCTAAATGGTAATAGAACAGCCTGATTTTGTCCTCATTCAGGAGCCATAGGCAAATTGGGGGCGCATATGTGTGGACTGAGGACACCGAGCTGCAAATTATACATAGCTAATTGCGAAGGTAAGGTTAGGGCATGTATAATGGCTAAGAAAAACCTGACCGTTATGTTACATCGTTAAAGCAACCAATACATAAAGCAGTAACTTGGGAGACAAGCGAAAGTGGTACCGAATGATGTCAAGTTATATGACATATGACGAGGAGCAAGTACCATCGCAGCTGGTATAAGAGCTAGTACGGAACAGCTAGTCATCCAAGTGCATGATTATACTTGAACGTGATTCATATGAACACCACACAATATGGGATACCAAATACATCAATGATAGAGGTGAGTGTCTCTTTAATTACTTACTAGGCACGAAGCTTTTGTTGTGTAACAGAGATAATATGCCCACGTTTATCAAAAGAAATCGACAAGAAGTATTAGATATCACACTTGTGTTGGAAGAACTGTTAAATTGAGTTTTTGAAGAACACTCCTTTTCATATCACCGATACATTAAATGTATAATTGAGAAAAGTTGATTGTGATTCCCCCATTTCAACCAAAGAACGTTCATAGTATTTTACTGACAAGCATTATTGGCTTGTCCAATAACACGAAGTAAGGGAAGAATTCTCCTCCGAAGGGAGGAAAGAGCAAGCAGGGAGATACATTGGCAACAACTTCAGGGCATACACCATGCCAGACTGCTGTTGGGGGGTTACGACCTCAAGCGGTTTAAAGCCATAACTAATCTCCCCAGAAGCAAATTCCGGCTACTGGCAGCGTTCTACACCGGCCATTGCAGGCTCAAGAAGCACCTCTTTAACATGGGCATAGCCTCTTCTGCAAACTTCCGGTTCTGCGACATAGAGCCGAAAACCCCTGAGCATCTGCTGATGAACTGCACAGCAGTCTGCAGACGCAGAATCAAGGCCCTGGGATCCATGTTTCCACACAGGGATCGTATCGCCTCACTAGCACCCAGCAGAATTTTGGAATTTATCAACATGCTGGGCCTAGATGATACGATATGACTTAGGGGAGGGCACAATAGACCATAGGTCGCGGTGCATACCTCGAAACTAATCTAATCTAAGGGAAGAATTCGACCCACATGGTGGTCTCCCGAACTTAAAAAATTACAGAAGGATTGCAGGATGCAGTTATATGTAGCTAAATTATCCCAAGATGAATAGGATTGGAATAGTTACTACAGCCTTCTAAGGTCAAACAAAAAAGAAATAAGAAAAGCAATAAGAAACTCTTTGAAGTATTTTTTTAATGACATCAAGACTACGACAGAAGCGTATCGGCATAGAAACATTATAGCACGGTCGGTGCATAACATTGGGTACCTTCAGAAACCCGACCACAGGTGGACGGAATCCAGTGAAGAGTCCTTAAGCCTACTAATGGATATTCACTTCCTAGGCAGCTCTAAAAACCATACGGGTAAGTATACACCAGACGGTGGAGTAGTGATAGTTTCCATTGCTGTAGATATAGTATCAGAAAACACTGTACATAGGGCGTTAAGCACTTTCAAGCTCTTCAAATTGCCTGGGCCTGATGGTATGGTCCCAAAACAAAATAAAATTCTGGTTAGTAACTATTCTTAAAAGGGCGCTAGAATTGAACTATATTCCCTCGTTATGGAGGAAACTTGAAGTAGTATACAATATATACCAAAATCTGGTAATCTCACATATGTACAAGTCCAAATGATTTCAGACCAATTAGTCTTTCCTCATCGCTATTAAAAACGTTTGAAAGACCAATAGAAATACACATAAGAAAGAAATTAAACCCAGAAAAACTGGGAGTTTCGCAAAATGTGCATTCTAAACGAAAGTCTACGGAAAACTTTGAATAAGCAAAACATAAATGTATGTATATACACTTTAAAACAGCACTAAGCTGAGTGATAGCAGAGATTGAAAAATGTATGAAGGGGAAAGAATACACCCTTATATCCTTTCTAGACATAGATGGCGCCTTCAATAACATCCAGCCAAAGGCCATAATGAGCACGCTCAAAGATTTGGGCGTCTCTGATCTTCTTGGGGATTTGATTGAACAGATGCTCATAGGTCGGTCAATAATTTACCGCTGGGAGCTTCAACGATGTGCAGATCTGTTTAAAGAGATATGTGTGTTATCTCCACTTCTCTGGGTCTTACCGATGAATAAAATGTTGTTCGATCTAAAAAAGAAGGGGGTACATGTCGTGGTCTACGCTGTTAGAGGTAAATTCCCAAATACCCTCCCAGACAGAGGTAGTATTGTTCACAAGTAAACACAAAACTCCAGAAGTTATGCCACCGTTATTAAATGGAACCAGACTAACAATAGGGTGTAGAGCAAGTCACTTCGGACTAATTTTAGACAGGAAGCTTTTATGGAAACCAAACTTAGACGCTTGGGTAAAGAAGGCAGCTGCAGCACATTACACCTGTAAAATGATGGTGGGCCCAAATGGGGATTAACACCTTGGGTATCTCATTGGCTCCACACAGCAGATGTTAGGACAGTTATGACATACGGTATATTGATATGGTGGCCAATAACGGAAAGGCATGCCAGCAGACTAGGTACACCATATAATGACTATTGTAGAAGCTGTCAGGAGGTAGAAGAGGAGGAGACTATAGAACATGTGAATGTAAAGCTCTGCATAGAAAAAGAATCGCAACCATGAAATCTTTTTGCGGTTCTGCCAATATTTGTGAAAAAAATATTGCATATGGATTTAACATTTTTTAGTTGGCGCAATAGTAAATCGCTAAGACCATATTTGACTTATTAACTTATAACATGGATGAATTCGAGGATGATCATATGGAATCCTCGAGTGATGTGGAAAGTATTGAGCAAGGTGAGTTTTCTTCGGGGTATGAGCTTGCAGACATACTCTCGAAACTTTACACTAAGAGAGATGTTTTGAGCGACTCATAGGGAAATGCAGATAAAATATTTTAATGCGTCATCTACAAATTAATCTAAATGGTAATATAACAGCCAGATTTTGTCTTCATTCAGGAGCCATAGGCAAATGGGGGCGCATATGTGTGGACTGAGGACACCGAGCTGCAAAAAAGGCTCTGCATAGAAAAAGAATCGCAACCATGCGGTTCTGCCAATATTTGTAAAAAAAAATATTGCATATGGATTTAACATTTTTTAGTTGGCGCAATAGTAAATCGCTAAGACCATATTTGACATCTTATTAACTTATAATAGAGAATAATGAAAATTATTTTATGTAGTATATGGAAGTAATCCATGGAGGCGTTTGTTTCACTTTCTTCGGCACCAAATTATGGTTTATGCTGGATAAGTACTGAACCACTATTACCACTCGACTACACTACTATAAGGAAAATACGCCTCCTTACTTTCATAAAACATAAATACGTATGTACCGATATGTAAAATATACCCTTTAACGTTAACTTCGGATGCAGCGAAACTAGAACATCCTTCAAAAGAAAAGGTTTCCATACAAGTACTTGATATTGATTGGTCAGTTTGTATGGCAGCTATATGCTATAGTGGTCGGATCTGAAAAATTTATTCAGAGATTTAAGCGTTCGGGCAGCTTTCTGTTCATATAAAACAGTTTTGCGTTTTTATCATTCCCTCCTGGACTATTAGAAATGTATAAAGAAATATGTTTCATCGTTGCAATGTTGGATATACTAATACTTGTTGCGAACGATGTCTCGATTTGGAATTTTAAAGGCACACTTACTTGTACAACCCGTTTTTTAAGATTAACTTTTTTTGCGATCTCCTCAAGCATTTTTCTACTTGGATTCGATTCATTTTGATAGCATTCATATAGAAAATTTAATTGCTCCGGCAGTATTGTAGTGCGTAATCGTTTGCTTTGTTGTTTTTCAGAAATACCAGTGACTGTGTTTGTTGTTGTGGTAGAAGACCCAACGGTAGGTTTGTTATTTAAATTTGTAGTGGAATTCGGTGATGATGATGTAGTCTCTGCTAATTGTCTCTTATCGATTGCTTGTCGGGCTGATCCATTATTCCCAAGACCGTTGGTTTCATTTTGTGCTTGTAGTAAATCGTTATAATGCTGCTGCTGTTTACTTTTCTCTTTGGATTCGTATTTTTGATTGACATGAAGAAAATCGTTTAAATGATCAATATACTCATTATTAATTGTTGTTGTCGTATTTGATTTTGATGACACATTTGATGCTTTACGCTTTGTCAAATTATGTTTTTGATTTTTTCCGCATCTGGCAAGAGATTTACTTAAGTCCTTGAGCTTATGTTGCTCATTGCTATAAGAAAATGGAGATTGCAGACTAGTAGGGAGTTCATTAATTGGATCCATTTTCGCAAATTTATTTGCTGCTTGTTCATTATCCTTATTATCATTATCGTTACTACTCTTCACTATGTTGATTCGGCTATTGTGACCGTAGATTTCATTCGATTTTTGATTATTGTCATTAATATGATCATCAGTGTCAGTACAAGTTTCAGCGTCGTCAACATCCATGCCACAACCATTACTACTTATTTCGTGGTCGTTGTTGTCATTATCGCAATCTGTAAAATTAATACTACTATTAGGGACATCCAGAGAGTTTTTCAATAAACTCATATCGGTTATATCATACCGATCAACTCTAGGTGTGGTTGTATGATCACTATTCGATATTGGTATCGGATTATTTACATGTTGGTATTGTGATGTGGATGTTGGCGACGCTGCCGTAAGGTCATTTAGTTCTTGGTTCGAGGCATTTAACTGAAAAAACCTTTTTGATTCATTCAGTTGATAGTACTGGAGTAGAACGTCTATATTTGGTTTGTTTTCACTACCGAAAACGCCCGCTTGGGACGGCAAAGCACTCATTTGCTGTGTGTGCTCATTTTTTTGATAATATTGATACAAGAAATCATAATTACTACGCTTTCGTAACTCACTTTGGTGGTAAAAATTTGTTAAATATTCCATTTCGATTTCTGGTTCATGTGACTTTTTTTGTTGTGCTTGAAATTGTTGTTTCAATTCGTTGTTGCTCTCGTTTTGCATAAAATACTGATATAAAAATTCGTATTTTTTGCTGTTTGATAACGAAAATGAGACAGGGTTGCTGATTTCACCATCACCGGTGCCAAAAATTGATGACACATCATCTGCTATTGAAGATGTTTCAGAGCACTTACGTTTTTTTGCGGGTGGTTGGTCTTGCTGTTCTAGGAATTGGTGGTGCTGCTGATGCGTGGCACTGGCAGCTGCAACTTGCTGTAAGCTTTGCAATATGCTGCCAAATGAACCGTAAGCCTCTGGTATGTTTGTAATTTGTGTGGTAAATAAGCTGGGATTCATTAGGTGTAGTAGCTGATGCTCACGGAAATGTTCGTAGTAACTGAATTGTAATTTGCATTTGTCACATTCGTATTTTGACTTGTGCACTGGACCTTGCGGCAGCAATTCACTGCTATCGCTGCGCTCACGCTGTGTCTGTGGTGGAGTGGGCGTAGTGGATGGACTAAAATCAGTCATTGACATTGACGATTTACCATATAAATGCTGTGGCGATGTAACGCCAGGAGCTGTGCTGCTAGGTGATGTGCTGGAAACGTTGGCGGTACTTGACAACACCGCTGTTGCTGCAGCATTAGAAATATGTTGATGCTGTAATTGATACGCACTGCTATTATTAATGTCCATCGAAGAATTGGAGTCTTCTGAGCTGAGATTTTGTGCGATCTGTGCTGCGGCTATTTGTGCCTTGGCCGACTTTTTGTTATTTTCTTCTTTAAAGCAATGATTTTTTTGATGGCGTATCAACTCGTAATAGCGCTGAAATGTCATATTACACTTTTTGCAGGCGTAGTTAATATTATGCTTTTTCTCTTCAGTTTCGTAAAGTGAATTATTTGGTTGATTTTCATAAATCTTACGCTGTTTTTGGCGAGCATTCTAAAAAATAAAAAGGATTAAAAGAAATTATATAGGCGTATAAATAAAAATATTCAAGTGGACTTTAGGACGTCCAGATTTAAATTTTGGTTTGTTACTTTCATTATAAAATAATTAGTAATTTTCATTACATTAGTTACATTTTCTAGATTACATCAGAAATAAATGCTTTCTTGCTTCACTCGGTTATGAACATACTATTTTAAGCTTCTACGGACGCATTTGAAAAATCCCAGCGGTTTTAGGGTTTTTTTTAGCAGCGGTTCTTGTGGAGAAAGTTGCTCAGCATTTAGAAACTCTATCTAGTACATTGTTCATAATATAATCGTCCTAGTGTTATGTTACCCTCGCCAAGTAGATCATTTTGTGTGCAATAGATAATGGTTTCTATGCGATGATGACTTAACAAAAAAACAATGATGGGAGAGCTTAAGAATCGGAGTTTTAGAATACGAATGCTTTTTAAGAGGAAAATACTAATAATTATTAATTATTATACTACTAGAAGATTCTGCCGAGCGTTACTGCGGCTATGGTATACATTAAATTTAAAACAGTGAAAATAATATTCCCATATAAAGACAAAAACGCTAGTGCTGATATAAGAACCCAAGGAATTGAACTTGAGGTCTCATCGACTTCACATGGTGTGTCCAAGAAAAAACCCGCCTTATTAAGCATGGATAAAATGATCCGAAACTCTTTGATTCGAGAGAGCGCTGTCAAAGTCCACATTTTTTATAACATTTGACAGTCTACCACTAAGGGAAGAAATAAGTTTTGAGATTTTTTAATGTATTTCTTGGGTATTTTTCGTTTTCCTTTTTTCAGGAAAATATACATAATTAAAATTAGTTTAACAAGCTAGATATCCTATATGACGCCTAAATATATGTACGTGTATATTTTAATCACAAAAGATTTTCAAAATTTACTTTTAAAACTAAATTCAACAAAATATTTTAATATTTCAAAACACACAAGTTTTTAATAACCTAAACATGATCCTTATTTTTTTTTATATACTCAATTAACAAATATCTTTTGATAATTTATTCGGAAGTCAAAGTTTACATAACATTTGCTGGGAATTCTAACCAAAATAAGTATATACGTTGACAATTGGTACTGCTAAGCAAAACAATACTCTGCGAGAAAATACCCGCTCTTTCTTAAATACAAAACTATATTGAAACTCTTTAAATAAAGATTACAAATATACGTAAAAGTCAACAAAAAATCTGATCTCACAAATTACCCACTGATTTCGCAATTTATTTCTGCGGGATTCTTAGTGGTAGTTCATTGTTTTGGTTGTCATCTGTTCAGTAGCTTATGAACTCGTGGTTTTTCTTGGCAGCACTGAAAGTTCATGAGCTCTCTCAGAAGGCAAAGAGAGGAGTTTCGGATCATTTTATATATGTTATTAAGCAGCAACAATCAGAATATTCTGTATACATACATACTTGTATACATATCTAGTATTGCAATAAACTCTGTTACAAAGTTTACAATGCATATAGCGAGAACAAATTCTCAGAAAAGTGTCGTTATTTTTTATTATATATATTTTTTTTTTTATCATTTATATATATATATTTATATATAATATTTTTTTTTTATTATATACACCATATATGCATGTGTTGTTTTGTGCTAACTTTACGACATACATACATATTGATATGTAGGTCGATTTATTTCGTAAGCTTCTAGCTGCACATTGGCACATACACATATCACTTCGAAGTCGTTCGGGTCTCAAACGTTTAACACATCGACGACGACAAGAGAAAGGCAGCATCTGTCAAATATTATATTAACATACACCAGAGAACGTATATCATATGATATACGTTATCTGCTCTGCTTATGAGCACAGGCAGGGATAATGGGATGCCCAACTCGTCTCTCACTGGAAATGAGAGCGCAATTGATAAACGTCAAAACCTACTGAACTCAAGCAACTGTCAAAGTTCAGTAGGTCTGACGTTTAGCAATTGGAAAAAGAGGGACGGCCGGATTAAAATCCTACAGAAAAATATGTAAACAGAGAGATTTGTGCTGCTGTTGAAGATCACTAACAAAAATTGGAAAACAATGAAAATGAAAAAAAACGCGAAATTGAAATGTATGTGATGATATCTTTTGTGATGTCATGCTAGTGGTATTGATTTTCAATTGAAAATTTTTAAAAACATTTATTAATTGAGAGCTAATACATTTATTCTTTTGATTACGTATTGAAAGTTCAAAAATCAATTGTTTAATAAATCAGAAAATCACAAAAAAAGAGTATAAAAAGTTTCTGCATATGTTTAACGGATACATGTATAATAATATTTAATCTTAATAAATGATGGGTATTTTAATTTAAATTCCCAAAAATTATTATTTTGTACCATCTGGCTACAATGGAAAATGTTATAAAAAACGCTAATTTTGAGGCGCTCTCACACTGGAAAGAGTTGGGCATCCCATTATCCCTGGTTGTCGCTGTCGCTAAATTAAAAATGTTCATTGCTCAATTTATATAGATGATTTTTTACATATTTAGCTTTTCAGTTATAATTTTTCTTAATGTAAGAGATCAAAACTAAAATCCAACTATTAACAAATAAGGAAGTACTAAGTTCGGGTGTAACCTGATATGTTGCAACTTGTAAGGATCAAAGCCGGGGAAATACCTTCAGGTGTTAGCAATATTACAAAATGTAGCGAAGGGTTTAACTTCATTGTTCAACGAAATCGTGAACGGATTAAAATCAAATTTGGTATTATATTACCTTATTTTGAAGGTCATAGACTTTAGTTTTATTACTAGATTTTAGTTTGTTAGATCAACTCAACCGAAGTGATATAATATATATTGAGTTGATGTAGAAAACGTCAGCTAGAGGATCGGAATTCATTATATTAGGGATATGAGGTTTATAACAAGGTGTAGACCCATTCCATGCTAATTCACCGCTAAATCACACCATTTTAAAGAAAAAACAGAAGATTTTATTGCGAAGTAGCAAGTGGGTGTGGCCCCGCCTCTTATTTAGTTAAAGCCATACGTCTCCTAAACCATTCCAGATATAACAAATTTCACTTTGCACAGAATAAATAATTTTGACTTTTCCTTCGACAGCGTGAAAATGGATGACATTGGAAGATAACACCGCCCACTCCCCATATAACGGTTTTGTTAAAAACTACTAAAAGTTCATTAATTCAATAACTAAATGCTTCAGAGACATTAAATTTTACATCCAAGGTGGCACAAATGTTTTTAAAGGAGCCGTTGTCAAAATTGGACGATGGGCGTGGCACCGCTTCCCATCTAGCACAATTTTAACTTCCATATGATTCTTTCACTTTCCAGTATACAAATCAAGCATCAAAAAATATATTGGGACAAAACTTTCCACAAATAGTGCTTTTGAGGTATACCATCTCAAGTCTATAAATTGTCAAAATTGGACCATAGCTCTTCAAGCCGCCAGTTAGGGAATATGGGGACCCCAGTGCTTGGTGCTAACTTTTTCCCGGAAATTCCGGTCAATCTGTGAGATATACTACTGCGATTCGGAGAGAGCCCCTTTCTGATAATAGTATGCTTGATTGTCAAAAATGGATTAACTTTTGTCCAAACCTTACATCCCTAAAATAAGGCATGGCGATTCTTTGATTGACGTTATCACATGAACTTATAATATTAAATTTAGCTTCTTCAGTTAAGTTTAATTCCTATACATATATCTCATTTGAAGATGATTTTAATACAATGTTAGCTGCCGTGAAGTAAAATATGGTAATAAAACTAAGTGAGTCTGTGACCTATAATAAAACTTAATAAAATACAAATTTGATTGTAATCCATTTATGATTTCGTCCAATAATAAATATTGAATTGTTTCGCAACATTTATATATTATTTGAAGTTTTCCTAAAACATGAGGGTATTTTCTCTGCAAATTAAAAGAGCATAAATGTTGGATTCCACCCAAACTTAAGCTTTCCTTACTTGTTTATTTAATACGTTTATCTATTGACAATATAATTACCAATTAAATGAATGATTAAAAGGGATAAAAACTGGTATCGAAGGATTATGGATAACTACAACAAATGACGATTTACGTTTTCATCATGGTCGGCGAGCTGCACTAGCACTTTCGTTGAAAATCTTGAAAATCGTTGATAAACAAATGCTTGATTTTATTCGCCAAAGGAAATAATTATCAATATACTTCCTTAATTGCCAAAGTCTTCGAGCCCATTCTCAGTATCTCACAGATGCAGCGATACGAAAATCAAACATTGTGCTGTGAACCGAAACTTGGATACACAATGATGAGAACGTTAGCATATCAAACATTTTTGTGTCGTCAAATATATGGTAAAGGACCGAATATTTGAGCAGAAGGTGTTGCGATCTTTTATAATGAATGCGATACATTACACATCGGCACTCCACATTTCAATCGCGCACATACAGTGTGTGGAATTGGCGTTATCAGCTTGAGAAAATATAAAATATCAAATAGAAAAGAAATTGTCGTCGCAGCGATCTACATACATATCTTATAGCGAAAACAACACTCATGGCGGTGCTGCTCTCCTTGGCATTGGTGCTGATCACATACCATTCATTCTCGGTGGTGACTTTAATGTAAATTTTGCGAAGGAATGCTCCTTACCACTACTTCACTTTTTTCGTGAAAAATTCGGTTTAGATATGAATAACGACCAGAAAATTGCCACGATTAAATCAGGAACAACCATTGGTGTTACATTCATCTGAAATCTACACTATTTTGAATCACGAACATACATATGTATGTTTCATACTTCAGTTACCATAAAGCCATAATATCCGCTACCTATACGTGCTCCGACAGAAGATAATGTGCCGATTGATTATATTTTTATTTATTATATATATTATTATAAATTGTATGATTTGCTTTTGCTTATTATCATTGGAATAGGGAGCTAAAGAAAATCGTATTGCGGTGATTGCTTTACATAAGTGTGGATACTTCATACTTCGGGAATGTTTGTTTACGCATTATTGGCCGTTTTTCCCAATGTTCTACAGTAGAGGCAAATTATGCACAACAGATGCAAGCGGCTTCTTCAGTGGCAGCTAACGGCCACACAATTTCCTTTTTACAGATGAAAAAACTTTAACTGTTTAAGAAGTTATTATAAGCAAAGTGACAAAATTTACGCAAAAACTTCCAAAGACGGAAAAACTGTTATTCCAAGGGTCCAACGCGGTTACCATCCTGCATACGGCCATACAATTTCCTTTTTACAGATGAAAAAACTTTAACTGTTTAAGAAATTTGTATAAGCAAAGTGACAAAATTTACGCAAAAACTTCCAAAGACGGAAAAACTGTTATTTCTAGGATCTAACGCGGTTACCATCCAGCAGCTGTAATAGTTTTGGGGGGGGGAGTCTCCTGTAAAAGCGTTACAACACTTTACTTCTGTGAAAAAGGGCTGGCTCAAAAGTGTACCAGCAGGACGTTTTAGGTGGCGGGGTAAAACATTTAGGCGATACTTTCTTCGATGGAGAACATTGGATCTTCCAGAAAGATTCTGCACAAGCACACAAGGGCAAAACCATCCAGTAGTGGCTTAAAAACAATGTTCCTGGTTCCATAGCTGGAGATAATTGGCCGGCTGGAAGTCCAGATTTGAATCGATAGGACTACACTTTGTGACCAGAGTGGTAGAACATGGCCTGTCGAATACTCTCAGAAATTTGGAGAGTCTCGATAAATCTTTGGTTCGAACAGAGTCGTCAGCACCAATAGAAACTATGCGTGCTGCTTTTGATCAACGGCCGAATCGTTCGATGGCTTGTGTGAAAGCAAAAGGTGACCATTTCTAATAAAATTTTGTACATCGCTTATATAATATATGCATTATTAAATAAAAATAACTTTATTAAAATGTATTGTAGTTTAATTTTTATAACGGCCTGAACTTGTACCAGGAGTTATGGTAGTACTAAGAATGTATATATGGTAGAGTTGAGGAATACGAACAAACAATGCGCCTGTTAGCATTTGCAAACATTCCATACACGCGTAGGTGTAAAGAAAACGTATAAATAAATATTGATTAGATAAATCGCGCTCCTTAGCCACTATTTATGAATAGATTTAGTGCACTCTGTGATTTTACAGTTGCTTAATGTTTTTATTGTAAGTTAAAATTTGGGCCAGAACAATTTCTTACCTGAAACCAGACAACAATAACTCGTGGAGAAAGCAATAATAGCTTGCTTAAATACTCCAAATCGCTATCCTTTGGATAGGAGTTATTCTCAAAGAATTCCTGCAGTACCTTAATTTGGTAGTCCGTAAAGCGTGTGCGATTTGCGCGCTTTCCGCTCGATGTGGACGATGCATTCGATGAATTCGAATTGGTGTCAAACTGAGAAGTCGGTGAATTTTTGTCGAAAGATTTGCTGGTTTGAAAATTTTTCGGCGGGCCCATGTTGTTACCGTGCATGTTGCCAACATTTATATTGCTGATATTATGGCCGAGCGGCAAATTATCCAATTGTTGATTTATTAACTCATTAATGCTGGCATAGTGTGTCGGTACAACTGTAGAACTGTTGTTTGGTGACTGAGGTCTGGAAAGGATGTCCGAACTGCCGCTTTCTGATTTGGTTTCATAACTGTATAGGTTGATATGCTGTGGATGTTGCTGGTGAATATTTTGATTTGATTGACCATGCAAATGTTGTTGCTGTTGATGATGCTGCTGCAACGCCGTAACAGGAGCCGTTCCCACTACTGTGTTTCCCGGTATTTCAAGAAGTTGTTGTTGATGTTCAGACGCTGACAATGCGGATAAATGCTGTTGTCGTTTATGCAGCAGCAATGCCGATGACGTGCTCAATAAATCTTTTTCGTCGTTCTTATGCAGTTCTCGTTGCCTTTGCTCTTGAGGTTGCTGCTGTTCATTTTGACGTTGTGAACTCCCTGGAGTTGTAATGTATGCCTCAATATTATCATCTCGGGGTTCAGCTTTGATGTCAATTAATAACGAAGAATCGCCACTTATGTCTGTCATAGTGGTTGGTTTTTCTTTTGAATTATTTTTGGGATTCGATTCATGAATATTTTGCTTTTGTTGTTGCTGCATAGAGTTATTCTGTAAATAAAATAAAACATTAAAAATACCAATTTGACAGTAACACTACCTAGTTATAAAACGGCATATGGTTTGAATATATTATAAATAATTACACTCGTATATACATATATATATATATATATTAATTGTTGTAGTAAAACATACCGATGCCGTAGGTAAATCCTCGTTCAGCGGCGTAACTTTTGCTTGTCCAGTGCGTTCGTATTCTTCTAAATTTAGTGTTGTAGATGGTGGATTATTAAAGTTGTAAGGGGAATCTTTGTTTCTTTGACGTTCTTTAAACAGCGTATTCCGAAACCAATGCTTGACGACCTTTAAGTCAGTTAACAATTTTTTTAATTTCCTTCCTTCTTGCAACATTATTTCTATTAAAGCCCACAGAGAAAATTCCTCAGAGCTATCGGTTCATAAATGTGACATAGGTGTACATAGAAGGCTAAGTTTATAATTTTGCTGAAGTGAGATTACAAATTATTTTGTAACCTCCAACAGAGAGTGGGTAAAAAAATACTTAATTTGTCATGGTTTTAATAGAAGTAATTTTTGCCTTTTTTTCAAAAAATAATATTGAGTGCGTACCAAGTTAGAGCTCTAAGGAGATTTCCGTGAGTTCGATATTAACAATATGACTTTAACATAAAAATTACAATATGAAACAAGTTATACCTTCATTGGCAAATTCGCTTTTTGTGACATTTCCATTATACTTTCTTCACTTGGCGAATTATTAATATCAAAATGAGCTCGCAGAATTTTAAGCTGGTCGTCAGTGATACGCGTCCTTGCACGTTTCTGATTATTTACCATCTGGAATAAGAAAGTAGAAACTTTTTAATATACATTTAGTTAAGTAAATAATTATGAGGAAAATTAAAAGATAAGATTAAAGAATATTTATTATTAATTTTTGAAGGCGAAGGGTCAGAATCCGACAGCGTTTCTTTCTATCTTCGCTTGTTGAAAAGAAAAACCGAAATGCTTTTTCTTCCGAATTAATATTATATAAATAAGGACATAAAGATTTCATTACATGATACGTTCAAAATTCGGCTAAATCAAAAAGCCCGTGCATAAATCCGCACGACTTGTTACATTCTCGAAAAATCCGACCAATCCGGAAAAATCCGCTAATAATTCAATGCTGTTTTCAAATGAGTTTGGGACCATCACTGCTTTTATAATAATTATTTTTTTACGCAAAAACTTTTCGAATTAATCAATTATTTATAATTTGTTTGTATTGTAAATAGTTTTATTAAATAGAAAAATAAATAGTTGTAATTTTAGTAGCGAAATTGCGAAAAGAATATCCGCATCATGGACAGCTAATAAAAAATATTCACATTCAACATTTTACTTTGCTTCATACATTTACACACGCATATCCATGGTTTGATCACTGCTTAGCATAGCCAATATGGTGCTAAACTCTTTGATTCGAGTGAGTGCTGTCCGATTTAGGTCAAATATGAACTGTTATGCTCAATAACTTTAACTTTTGAAGGTAATTTTATAATGCCACTCTCATAAAAAGTCCTCTCCTCATTGACAAAAAGCTGGGACAGTCGATTTTTACAAGCTTCTCTTCGGGCGAATTTTTTACTAGTAAAGGTATTCGTCATAGACGGAAACAGATAGAAATCGCTTGGTACCTATGAGGTGGATGCATAAAAACCTCTCAACAAAGCTCTCGGAACTTATAGCGTCTCACTATCAATGTGCGTGGGCTTGCGTTGTTCTTATGGAACACAAATACTCTAGTATTGACCAAAGCTGACCGTTTCAGGGCGATCGCTTTCTTCAGAGGAACCTATTGTTGACAAGAGCTGCTCTTGGGAGATGATTCCAATAAACACATAGCAACACATGTCTGAGCGTCAATCCTGGCTTGACCACGGTTTACGTCTCACTGTAATCCCTCCACGCTTGACGTTGTCGTAAACGACCCACTTTCCATCACCGGTCACCATCCGTTTCAGAGATGGCTCGATTTTGTTGCGATTTAGCAGCGATTTGCAAATAGAAATTCCATTTATGAGGTTTTTTTGTGCTAACTGTCACACGAGTCGAGATACTCTATACAAATTGCCCGAACTAAATCAAGTTCTCGTATGGAGAGTTTTTTTATTTGACAAGATACCTTCACGAAATTTGGCACAAACTATTATTCGAGGCAAAGCTATACTTTTCAAAATATCAGGTCAGACCACTTTGGCATATAACTGCCAGTCAAACTAACCGATCACAATGTAGATAAAGATCTTCATAAAAGACTTTTTTTCCTTACTAAGTAACCTTAATTTGGCTTGGATGTTTTCTACTCCAACTAGGAAGAACTGGCAAAACGTTCTCCGTTCGATGCAAACCGTTTGCCGGTTACATTTTTAGACATAAATATACATATAGTTGTTATAAGAAATGTGCCTAGTTAGGTGAAATCTCGCAGTTTTAATAAATATAAAAAGCATTAAACAAAGCTCATTTCTGTTTAATTTTATCGCATATACTTGTAAATGAGGAACTTTTGTCCGATTATGGAGCCACTGAAAGTCGATTTTTGTTTCAATATTATCGCAAATCATATCTCAAATACGAATCATACTGAATTTGCATATGTATTAAATAAAAAAATACAGCATTCTTTGATTTTACTGGTCAATTTTATGTTACGAAGTAAATAAGTAATAGAGAAAAACTGCAAACAATGATGAGAAGCTATTTATGTTTTTACAAAAACTTTCATCTCTGACAAGAAAAGGCACCCTGGCCTCTCTCAGTAGAATAGGAACGCGTCGGTGCTCCCTCTATTCGTGAGTTGTACTACTGGATAGCAGGGACATAGGTTCATGCGCTATCGCAAGATCCTTTTGACCCAAGATCGATCGTAAGAGATCCTGTAGGCTCTTTGAACTCAGTAGGGCATGCTTTTCTCTAGTTGTGGGGTTTCTAGCAGGTCATTGCCCTATCGGCGTCCACGAGGTTGGGTTGAGAATCTCACCGGATGCTAGCTGCAGAAGCTGTATGGAAGAAGACAAGGTTGAAACATTTAAACATTTCCTTCTTGATTATTCCGCGTTTGTGAGACCAAGACTTAAACACTAGGCGCTCACACTTTCAAATATAGAAATTAAACCTCTAAGCTAGTATAGCCCTTTGCCGACTTATAAGCTCGGACACAGGAGTTTTATTGTTATGGCTGCACAAAGAACCCAACCTTACCTATATTTTTGTGAACTGGCTTATTCTACTATTTTACTAAATGGCGTTTATGAGTATTTGTAAGCAGTTTTTTTCATTCATTTGGACATGGAGCGGTATTCAAGGAAAATAGTTTTAGAAATTTAATATAGGAAATTATTATTTTCTTTTTGCATTTCATTTTCCATCAGGTTTTTTATATTATTATTATTGTTGTTATTTAAGAAAATAAATCAAAAGAAAGAAAATTCTTTACAAAAATCTACATTGGTTTTATATTCTATTCTTTTTACCTGAACGGTACTAGTTGGTGCAGATTGTTGTGATTGGGACTGAGGCTGTTGCTGTAATGCACCTATTAGGTCCGCTCGCGGCGCCACTGGTGTGCCTGGTACCGACATATCGTTCCCACATAGAAGTGTATTGGCACTGGGATTGTAAGTAACTTTAGGTATGTGAGTGGGTGTTAACAAATCAACATTGTCACTAGAGCCAGAATTAGTGCCGACCCCAAATATAAGCGGCGGTGCAAGATTCATAAAGTTCATTGACATTATGTGATGAAACTGCATAAGATTAAATATCTCGACAGGATTCAATTGAAAGCCGGATGTAGCTGCTGCTGCCGTCAATTGTGGCAATTGTTGAAGGTTTTGAAGATTCTGTTGTTGAAGATATTTTTGTGTTAAGAGGGGACTACGTGGTTTCATTTGTGTATGCTGCATAAGATGACAGCCGCTCTCTGTTAGTTCTTCGCCGCTGATATGTTGTTGTTGCTGTAGAGGTGTTGACTGATTTAATAACGCAGCGGTGTAAGCAGCAGCATGTTCTTGTTGCTGTTGGTCTTGCAATATGTTAGCTGGTAATGGGGAAGACGATACCTTTGAAGATTCATTTGTTTTCGGTGTCGTAGGGGGCGATGCACGGACTGCGAAGTTTGAATTTATTTTAAAAAAGTAAATTAAAAGAAGTTTCATATATCAAGTGTATAACTATATTTTTAATGAAGTAGGAAGGTAAAGATCCTCTTCACATATTTGAAAAAAACATATAGGCGAGTACAGGCGTCATTCAAGACGAATTATAAGCATTTATGCTGAGAGATAAGTTTAATATATAAGAATATATATATACATTTACCATTGATGTCTTGGTTTTTAGCTGCATTGCCATTGTCATTTAATTGGGATTTGTTTTGCACGTGACTCATCTGTAAGGCTGGCGATCCACGGCCGCTATAGCTTAATACTGTCGGTGGACTGTTACTGACGACATGTTGATCGCCGCTACTATGATGTGTTTGATCGATGTGCTTTTGTAACGCTTGAGTCGTACGAAAGTTTCGTTGGCAGAGCGTGCATTTGGTGGCTTCCCGCATCGTATGATACAGCAAATGTGTAGATAGTTTTTCTTGAGTTTTAAATGCAAGTGAACAATGTTTACATCGGTATTTATACACATGACGCTCGGATATGATTAAGCTAATATGAGTATTTTTATAATGGATGACCATTGAAGCTTGAGTCGGAAACGTCGAATGGCACGGTCGGCTGGGATGACTAGCAGCCAAACAACGGTGACCACCATTTGGCAAGATTATGAAATGTTGCATTTTTTGCGCATGTTGCAATAATTGTAATTCATGCTTGAATTTTGAACCACAGTGTTCACATGACAATTTATTATTATTTAACGATTCTATGGAATGCATGTAAGTCGAGGTATGAGAAGCATTGAGATTTAAAGGTATGTCATTTGAAACCTCGATTAGCGATAACTCTAATTCTGTCGATGGTTTAATATTAATAGTACCGGTGATAGTTTGTTTAGTTGTTGTTTCGGAGGCGCTATTTGAGTCCTTACAGTCTTTAGCTATAGTAGGCGTTGTTGCGGTTTTACCAGTCAAATCCCAAGCGCTAGTGTCTACTAATTGTAGGAGACGTGATAAACCATCGTGATTCACACTATGTATATTCATCAAATGCGTTTCCAATGTATGTTTGCTATCAAATGTTTCTGTACAGAGGGGACACTGAACATTGACTGCTTCTCCGGAATATTTGTTGGTACTTTCAATCAATGCATCCCCACTTGTATCTTCAATTTGCTGTGCTTTCTGTTCCTCGGTCTTTTCCAACTCATGTAATACATTATGAATTGATTTAGGTTGAACCATAGCTGCTGAAGTTTCGTAATTATTTATTGTATTCGTTGTCTTTGTGAACCAAGGTGTAATTGTCGACACATCCTGAAGCGACATTGTATTCTGCACATCTGCGGACTTTACGGTTTCTTCATCTTCTGTCGTACAGAGGCGCTCTCTTTTAATTATAGTAGGGAAATCATCATTTTCTGTATTAGATTTGTTACTAGGAGCACGGGTGGCAGTCACTGCAGAAGCTGCTGCTGTCGCTGCCGCTACAGCTGCTTGAAATGCTTGTATGGCAGCAGAGTTCGTTGGGATGCTAATGTAGTCTGGCTCAGTTTGAGGATGTACTGCACTCAGGTGTAGTTCCATTTCAGCTTTGGAATGTGCAAAAAAATCACAATTGTTGCATTTAAATACAACTGAGGGCATGACGGCGGGACTACCTCCCGGAAGTGCTGATGGTGAAGCATTTTTGTCATCACTTGCTGTTTGAAAGTTAAAAATATTAACACTCTGATAGCTTTTGCTGCGCACACTAGTGTTTCCTGAAGCAGTTGAGGAGTTAGATGACGGTGAAAAAGAGTTGTGATCTCTATTAGAGAAATCATCGTTTGATAAACGTGCCAGTGGCATTGGAAAATTGCCGAATCGCGAAACAGATGTAACATTTTCCATTCTGTTATTTTCTGTGTAAATAAAAAATGGTAATATTGTAGTGTGTTTAATAGGTATACAGAGATATTAAGCTAAAATTGGAGATATTAAAAAATTCTATTCAAAAATGAACACGTGCGTTGGTGCCAAGGGGCGTCGCCTAGTTGGTGGGACGCAGCATAGGAAATATTTATTAGTTTAGTGTGTTAAGTGTTAGTAAAAAATTTGTAATCTCAACTATTATATGAACACATACAGTCCACTCATTTTAAATAATTATTTTTGTCCTGGGCAATATCTTGAAATAACCTTGAACATGTTTATTTTCGACAAAGCCCACATATAACAAAAACATAAACAATACATTTCTTTCAATAAAACGCTTTATAACTTTTGGATTAAATTACTAAATTCTATCGAACATTTAATTGTCATAAAGCGAGTATTGGACCTTTTGTTAATTGATTCATGAGTATGGAAGTCAAAGAATTTAAGGATCTTATACTAAACATAAATTACGTGGTAAATTAGCTTAACGAAAAGCGGTAGCTACTGGTAATTTGTTTCATATTAAAAATATATGAGCATATGATACAATTAGCTGAGTTCATTTTTGGTGAATTGTCCTGCTCAAGCGAAGGTGGCCACCATCAAGGAAGCGAGGCGGTTTTTCGACGTCCTCTTCCGATCTGGCGCTGGACCTATGGACTTCCAGTAAGCTCAGCAAGCGCTGGTCAACAATCAGAATTTGTGCCACTGCGAGATCCTTCTGGGCTTGAGTGAATCTTAAGAGGTTCTTCGAACTACTTGCTCTTAGCAAAGTCAATTCGCCTCAATTGTAGACGTAATAAAAGATCAAAAAGCTTTGTCGATCTTTGAGGATCTGGTGATCCACACAGAATGAATCCGTCCAAACCCATCGATTAGGATCAACTCTACGACATAACTTAATCTAGTGTCCTGTGAATCTAATACCCCTACAATATGTAGTTGTCGGTCTATTAGCCATAAGTACTACAATAGTATTTCAAATATTTTGCTTTGGATATAAATCTCTGTATACTAAAAATATTCCTGATTTTAAAAATCTGCCCAAAGGTTCATATCTTTGTATTTCCTGCATACGAATACTTACAAATTGAGTATAAGTAAACTCTTGCCGTGGTATATCAGTACCTACATCAACTGTTAATTTTTGCGTAAATGTAAAAGAAGATTTGTTACTTTCCTCAGGGTATTTAAAGTAAATCTTCATCAAGAGAAAAAGTGATTCTGATTTCATATGCGGAATTTTTTGTTGGTCATTATCATCAATTTCTTTTTTGGTGTTGCCCATACCGTTCACACGGCTTACTTGAATTGTGCAATTTTCTGCATTGCGTTTCATATAATTTCTTCAAATTCTTGTGCACTTTATTTATGAGGTACACAAACATTAATTTTCGTTAGTTATTTATACCCTGAACAGGGTATTTTTAACACCCAGAAGAAAACGTCGGGGACCTTACAATATATAGGGTCCATCAACAAGAACGACGTTATGTTAAAATGAAATAAAACACTCAAATTTGGTCAAAATGGATTCAATTTTTTTTTGTCATGCAGATAACTTTTTTCCATTTATCATTTAAACAAAATGTCGGCCAAACGGCCACCACGGCTCCGTTTGCATATCTTTACCCGTTTAAGAGAAGTTTTGATGACCCAGAGCAGCATTTCGACTGGAATGTTGTCTTCGAACTCCCCGAGCATTGCTAGTTGATCAACATCGCTTTATAACGTGCGCTTTGATGGTAACGGCATTTTATGCCTCATTTCGAAAGAAATAAGGTCCGATGATGCCACCATACCACAATGTGCACCAAACGGTAAATTTTTAAGGCGCAGTTGTGTTTCCTGAACCGTACAAGGATTTGACTTACTCCAATAGCGACAATTTTGTTTATTGATGAAGCCATTAAGCCACAACTTTGCCTCATCTGAGAAGCTGATTTTTTTATGAACGTGAATTTGTGAATTTTTGAGATATCGATCTGAAATTTTGCACACATCTTTTTCTTCCCAAGAAGCTGCTCATTTGCCGGAACCGCCGATATCGATTCACTATTGCATATAAATGCCATACAAACTGACCGATCAAAATTAAGTTCTTGTATGAATTACTTATTGTTTTTATCTTTGACCGACATTTTGTAAAATATTTCTGTTATATTATGTATATTAGCATACCTGTTTACATATGTATTACAAGTAAGGAAGTTCTATGTTCGGTTGTAACCGAACATTTTATACTCTCGCAACTTACAAGGGATATTACGTCAAGTGTTGGCAAAATTGTATATTAAAGGAAATATTAATCCGATTCAACCCATTTTTGACACAAAAACATACTATTATCGAGAGTTTCATTTATTTCTTTTATTATATGAATTTCAGTTATATATCTTACACATTGACCGATATTTTGGGTAAATAGTTAACTGGGGTCCACATATTCAGTACCTAGGGGATTCAACAGTTTTGGTTCGATTTAGACAATTTTTGGCCACAAGGTGGCATACTTTAAACGCATAATTCACTCAAAGTTTTACCCCCATACAATCATTGTTGCTTGATTTGCATAGTGGAAAGTGAAAGAATCAGATGGAATTTAAAATGGTGTTATCTGGGAAATAGGCGTAGTTGTAATCCGATTTTGCCCATTTTCGCACTCTAACATTGAAATATGAGAAAAATGTTATATACAAGGTGCGTTCCAAAGTAAACAGTACAAAAGTAACAAAGTAAGTAGTCTAGTGGCGCCATCTATATGTCGACCAGTGCGTTAGAATCTGCTATCCTTTATCGACTTCCAGTAAAAATTTCATGACATTTCATGTATTGAAGTTATTGCGTTTGAAGTGTCAGTATGTTTGTGACATCGGTGCAAAAATGAGCATCGAACAAAGAGCCAACATTAAATTTTGTTTTAAAATTGGTAAAACTTTTACCGAAATGTTTCAATTGATGAAACAAGTTTATGGCGATTATTGCCCATGCTATAGCAGAGTGCACGAGTGGTTTCAACGTTTTCAAACTGATCGTGAGGAATGAGCCGAAACCAAAAAATCGCGCCTGGAGAAGTCAAAAGTGAAGACAATGCTGATTTGTTTCTATGATTCCAAGGGTATTGTCCACAAAGAATTTGTTCCACCCGGCCAAAACGTTAATGCGGTATTTTACCTTGGAGTTCTGAAGCGTTTGGTGCGCCATATTCGACGTGTTCGGCCCGAATATCGCGAAGATGGAAGTTGGCGTTTGTTGCACGATAATGTGCCGTCGCATCGATCGACGCTTGTGGCCGATTATTTGACCAAAAATCACTTTTTAACAATTAACCACTCCCTGTATTCACCTGATATGGCACTTTACGGAAAAATGCATTTGCCGATGAAAGGAAAGCGTTATGCAGACGTGGAGGCCATTCAAAAGGCTTGCACCGGCATACTGGCGGCCATACCGGGCAACGAGCTAAAACGCTCGTTCGACATGCTTTTGGACCGTGCAAAAAGCTGTATTAAAGCAGAAGGAGACTATTTTGAATAAAATTAATTGATTTTGCCGATAAAACCATTTGTTCTGTCTTTTTTTTTAAAGTCCTGTTTACTTTGGAACGCACCTTGTACAACAATGATTGTATGGGGGTAAAACTTTGCGAGAATAATACGTTTAAAGTATGCCACCTTGTGACCAAAAATTGTCTAAATCGAACCAAAACTGTTGAAGCCCCTAGGTTCTGAATATGTGAAGCCCAGTGCCTATAGTTGACTTTTTACCGAAAATATCGGTCAATGTGTAGGGTATATAATTGAAATTCATATAATAAAATAAATAAATGAAGCTCTCGATAAAAGTGTGTTTTTGTGTCAAAAATATGTTGAATCGGATTAATACTTCCTTTAATATAAAATTTTGCCAACAGCTGAAGTAATTTCCCGGGCTTTGATCCCTGCAAGTTGCGAGAGTATAAAATGTTCGCTTACACTCGAACTTGGAACTTACTTACTTGTTAGTATTTCATCTGTGGCTGCACTCATAGACAGATAATAATTGTACATTATACCTATGCATGTAAAGATTTTTCCTAGTTTCTAAAGAGCGTTAATAAAATTATATTAGAGCGTTAGGCGGGTTTGAAAATTTCAAAATATCGATTTTGTTTTTTGTTTTATTAAATAGTACAATATCTTTAAAATATTATTGCAAAATTTCAAATAATTATAATGGTAAGAGACAGAGCCCTGGGAAGTTTCGCCCATCAGGCCACGTCAGTGCAACGTCTCGCCCTTAAACGCGTTTATGTCAAAACTTAATTTATTTTAATAATTTTAATATACAAGTATATAATTTTATCTAGCCATGTATTGGCGAAAATTTTACCAAAATATGTGCTTTTTTTGTTGAAAGAAAGCTTTTAATTATTTTGTGCCTTTGTCAAATAACGAGATTTATCCATGTACTAACGAAATATTTTTGGTTTTTTGATTTTAGATGAACCAATTACGAATTATGCTGTCCAAGGCGACAAATGTTTTTTTTTTTAAGACGTCAAGGGAGATGAAGTACCAACGGCTAAGTTGTAAGTTAAATTGTAAAAATACCTTTTTTTGAAACTCTGAAATCCACATAACCCCTTAAATGTGATGATTCACATACTCGTACATATATACGAGTATATGTACTTGTATGTACATAATTTACTAAAAACTGTCATTTAAGCTGGGTTTTGAGAAAATTTATTTCATTATTTATATAATGTAATAATTATAAATGTTTAAATAAAGTTGTTACATGCTTATTACAAAGCTACATAATATTTTCCGTTACTCGGTGAGAATTAACTATCCACACAATTTTTACATTCAGTACATAATTATGTAGGTACATATGTATATGTATGAGCACATTTATATAAATTATCTGTATTTATATGGTATTTCGTAAGTTTATGCTTCTATTGTGCGCAATTAAATCTAATTGCATAAATAGTACT